ATGGAGCAGGCCATGCTTTCGGCGCGGGGTACGCTGCGCATGCAAGCCCTCCGTCACATGGGCGACTTTCAGGGGAGGGGGTTGCGGGGGACCTTCGCCGACCTCCCCAACGATGGCTTTCGTGAATGGGCAAATGCGGTAATGTTGTGTCACATAACGTTCAGCTCTGGCGCGCTTGCTGCCCATGGAGCAGGCCATGCTTTCGGCGCGGGGTACGCTGCGCATGCAAGCCCTCCGTCACATGGGCGACTTTCAGGGGAGGGGGTTGCGGGGGACCTTCGCCGACCTCCCCAACGATGGCTTTCGTGAATGGGCAAATGCGGTAATGTTGTGGATGTTACCGATGCAGAATTTGCCGGTGCCGCCGGAGTCTTTCGAGCGCTTTGGTCCCCCGCCGGTTCGGCATCAACGGCTTCTCCATGTCCGGGAGCATTGCGCTACGGATGTTCGGAACTGTGGGTGGTGGAGGTTCTTCTGGACCGAGTGGGGGTAAGCGGCGGCGGGGGGACTCCCGCTACGTGGGTGGGGACTCCAAACGCCGGTCGAAAGTGTGTTTCGAATATCGCGACTNTCCCCCGCCGGTTCGGCATCAACGGCTTCTCCATGTCCGGGAGCATTGCGCTACGGATGTTCGGGACTGTGGGTGGTGGAGGTTCTTCTGGATCGAGTGGGGGTAAGCGACGGCGGGGGGACTCCCGCTCCGCGGGTGGGGACTCCAAACGCCGGTCGAAAGTGTGTTTCGAATATCGCGACTCCCAAACATCCAGGTGGGGCGACTCCAGCGTGTTCCGCCGTGCGACTGGGGGCGGCAAGGGTGGCGGCGGCGGCGGCGGCGATGGCGACCAGGGTGGCCGTAAGGGCGGCGGTGGGGGCCGCGCTTCGGGTGGAGGGGGAGCCTCGGGCGCCGCGGCCGATGGCGGAAGCGGCTCGTCGGCGCTGGTCGTTCGCCGGGGAGATGGCAGCAACTGAGGACACGGGCTCTGCCTTTCGGCGGGGCCAACTCCACAGTCGTGTGGGAGCGTAGATCAGACAGCGAGGCCGGGTTCCAGAGCGCTTGGGGCCGCCGCGTTGGCGGCGGCGGGCGTGGGCGTCGATCGAGGGGCGTGTGTGCCCGGGGCTGTCTCTTCGTTGCTACCAGGTGATGTCTCGTTTAGGTCGATTGCGGGTTCGCGTGAACTTTGCGTATGGCGATCTCGTGTGTCTGCTTTGGCAGCGGTGTGTTCACCCTCCGATATGGGTGTGGGTCTTAGTGAGGTGGCTTCCGCTGGTTCCGCCTTGCTTAGACAGTGTGGGGGGCGTATTGAAGTGCTCGTGGCGGCCGGTGGTGCCGGCTGCTTTGCGCCCCATGTCAGTGTTGCGTCGGTTCGTGATTTTTTTTGGGTCTCGAAACGTTTTCCGCAAATTGACAACCTCCTCCGCGTGTTGTGTCCTGGCGCGCCGGTCGATGTCGCGCCGGGGGGGTGTCTAGACGCCGAATTACAATACGGCAACCATTCCAGCATTCTACCATACACTCCGCAGATCATTGACAAGATCGTTTCGGATGTTACGTTAGGTCGTGCTCTCGTCGTCGACGTGCAGTTCATCCGTGAAATTTCGGGTGTGCGTGTTTCCCCCCTTAAGGTGATGGACGATCCGAAATTCCGCATCATTCATGATCTCACATTCACAGCGGCTGGTGCGCAGTCTAGCGTCAATGCAGATACAGATTTTGATCGTGCCCCCGAGTGTCTGTTGGGACATGTACTTTTCGATGTCTTGTCGCGCGTCCTCTTTTTGCGCCAATTGCACGGGCCGACTCTCGAGATTTTGCTCTGCCGTATTGACGTGCGTGAGGCTTTTCGCCAAGTGTTGGTCGACCCTTCGAGGGCGTCGGTACTCGGATACACGATGGGGGACGTGGTCGTCATCGGCCTTCGTTGCCAGTTTGGTTGGCGTTCCAGCCCAGGTTTTTGGTCGCTGTTTGGTTCCGCTCTTGAGCATGCACACACCCACACTACTTTTCAGACAGCTTCTGTGTTGCCTGCCGGAGTTGCGGCGGTTGATCATGTTCAGCTTGTTCCTCCCCAAAACCTCCCCGTATCGTTACCGCGTGATTGTGCCCAAATTTCTATGGAGGGCGGTTTCGCTGGTTCCGCGTTTTTCGTTCGGTATTATGTGGATGACGGTGTGCTTGTCGAGGCGCGGTTTTTCACGGATGGTCGTCGTTGCCTACGTGCAGTGCAGTCGATCGCGTCGGACCATTTCCGTCTGCTGGGACACCGGGGGCCAAACGATCCTCCGTTGTTGTCTGCAAAGAAAATCACCGATTTTTCGACGCGTTTGGAGGTGTTGGGATGGATTTTAGACACGCAAACTCTCACAGTGACCATGCCTCTGCGAAAACAACAGAAATTAAACCGTTTGTTGGGCGAGTGGCCGCGGTCGCGTCGGTGTGCGACTGCCCGTCACGTCGCGGAATTGACCGGTTTTCTTCTTCACGTGTCTTTTGCCTTGCGTCCAGGCAAATTTTTCGTCGGCTGTCTGTTGGCTGACGTCGGCATGCCGCAGTCCGAGGTGTTCCCTTCGCGTGTTTCTAACCCCAATCGGCGTGTCGTGTTGGGGCCCATGTTTCACGATGATTTGGATTTTTGGCGCTGGTTTGCGCAGCGAGGTCTGGCGTCGCGTGGCGGCCAGTTGTGTGCACCGATGTACAATGTGGTGCTTCGTCCTCCGGTAATGGCTGTGTTTGCCGATGCTTCCAAAACGGCGTTTGGAGCATACTTTGTGCAAACTGGGTGTTATTTCCGGCGTGATCTGACGTGTGACGAGCAGTCCCGCTTTGTGGGGTCTAGCAAGTCTGTATCCGAGTGTGCCGATGTCAGTATCAATGTTCTTGAGCTACTCGGCATGGTCGCGGCGGCATGGGTGTTGATTGTGCAACAGCGTCATGTGCCGGTGTCGGCTGGTGACTGTATCCAGTTGCGGGGAGACAATGAAGCGAGTGTGGCATGGATTGAGCGGTGTCGCGGAGGCAAGGAGCCGCGGTCAGGCGCGCTCATGCGGATGCTGGGGGCGATTGAAGTGTCTAGCGGGGGGCTTTTCCAATTGCCCCATGTGCCTGGTGTGCTCAATTCGCTTGCTGATGGTATTTCTCGCTGGCCCGCCGCTGATGTGTACGACAACCTTTGTGCCGCTGCCCCCCATGTACGATGGCAGGAAGTGGAGTTGAATCGAGCCGGGCAAGAGATGTGCTCTGCCGTACTGGGGCCAGTCTCGTCCGCCAGTCACTTGCGCGAACGTCTGAACGAACTTACCTGGGCCTTTTTGGAGCCTGGGTGAAATATCGTGTGATCGTGGTGAACCGGCCGGTTTTTATTGCGGCCGAGGTTGTTACGCGTGATGTCGTTGCTCAATTGCTTGAGTACGTCGCGTATTGTTTTTCCGTTTTGGGTCTACAACAATCGACGATCGCCAGTCATTTGTCCGCTATTAAGTTCTTCCATCGTGTGTCGGGTGAAGGGGAGCTTGATACGCAGCATCCGCTGGTGCGTTGTGCTTTACGTGGGGCGGCGCGGGGGCATGCCGACGTGGGCACACAGCAGCGGTTGCGACGGCCTGTGTCTTGGGCGATGTTGCAACGGGGGAGTTCGCTGGTATCGCAGTGGGGGGTAGGCGGGCGCGTTTTGTTTCTTGCGCTGAGTGCTTCTATCTTCTTCCTGACGCGAGCATCCGAGATGTTTGCGGTGTCGAAATTGTCTATGCATGAGGTTCATGGATTGCGTCGGGGGGACGTAGCGTTTTTTCGGGGGTCGGTCCAGCTGTTGCAGTCGGCGCAGTGGCCATTGGCCGATCGCGTGGAGGTACGTTTTCGTTCGTCGAAAGGGGACCAGTTTCGGAAGGGGGCGGTTTGCACGCGCACACGGCAAGGTCCGTGCTGTGGGGTTGACCGAGGGGGTGGTGCAGTGGATGTCATGGTGGAGCTGCTTTCTCTGTATACCTTTTTGCCTTCGCATGCGCCTCTCGTGGCTTTCGGTGTTGGTCAGGGCCAGTGGGCCATGTGGACTAAGTGTCAAGCTACTGTGGCTCTTCGCCAAGTGGTTGCGTTGGCGGGTTTGCAGCCCGAGGAGTACGCGCTGCACTCCCTGAGAATTGGGGGCGCAACTTTCTTGGCGGCGGGGGGTGCCTCGCCGGAGGTTCTCCGAAGAGAAGGGCGTTGGTCGGGGGAGAGTAGTTACCAGTGTTACGTTCGGAATGTTGGGGGTGAGGCTTCGTGGGTGTCAGAGGTGTTGGCGAACAAGGAGAAGGTGACTTCACAGCCAGGGCAGGGTACCCGATGGGGTGACGTGTGAAGGAGTTCCGTGGCACGTTGTGTATGTCGAGATCCTTGTTGTACCGATGGTATTTTGCTGTAC